TTTTTTATATTTTTTATCAGTGTCGAGGTTAGTTGCGTTGGTTAAGTTGGTTATTTGGTGGGGTGGATAGCGTTGGTTAGTTCTTATAAAATTTCTATATTTCATAAAGCCGTCAAGTGCGTCACATCAACGACGTCATACCTATCAACGGCATTTTAGTTAGCTACCGTTTAACGGCAGTTTAAGTACAGCCAAAATATTTAGTCACTTTCGGTTAAACATCCCAAAAAATGTTAACGAAATAAATTAATTAAAAATATATTTTCTTTGTCTGGTACTGATGCTTATCATTTTAAAACAACGAATACAGTCCTGTCGAAAGTCTGTATAGGATTTAACATACTAGGCTCATATTTTTCCACTCGAAAACCTGCTTTGTCTCTTTTCTCTTCCCTAATCCTGCGAAGTACATATTGCTGTTGTTTTTCGTGGCGTTTTGCCCTCTTCCTCTCTACACCTCCCTTTCCCGTGCACATACACTTGTCACAAAGCACAATACTGCAAATAGCAAGATTCAAGGGTTCTTTTTTGAAGGAAAAGGGAAGAGGGTCCACGTTTTTGAGTCCTGCCGAGATCTCGCTTACTTTTGCTTTATTTAAATTCTGCTTTCAAGCAGATGTCTTGTTTTGTTTATGTCACGATTTTTAAATATATGAAAATAATAAGAATTATAATAATATAGTATTTCGTATTTTATGTGTGTATTATCTAGAAGTTTTAATATTCCAGTTCTAATTATTTTTGCGGTTTGAATTCGGGAAAAAAATGGATATTTATTTTGTAGGTATTTTGTATTTTGCGTCATATTATTGGCGTTGGAAGTGTTATTATTTGGTTTAAACGATTTAATAAATTTTTGTTATATTATTTATTCTTATTTAAATCAAAAATGTTCTGTGATTTAAGTAAACAATTAAATAAAAAATAGTTAAAAAAAATTAAATAGTATTATAGTTAATAAAAATCTTCGGATTTCACGGGGTTTTTAACAGGACACTGTCTCTTCAATAAACATCTCAGTAGATTAAAGATAAGAAACAACGGCGAATGAAGATTCTGTAGGGTAAATGGGGAAACACCAAAACACATCATCACTGAGTGCACCGAGGCGACAGCCATTCGAGCCATAAACTTCGGTACGACTGATATCGGAGATGGAGAACTACCCTCTCTAAAACCGTATCAGATATTGGCTTTTATCAAAACCCTTAGACTGTATGACTAGTTATAACTCAAGATTGGACACAATAGATCTATAAGGTCCCGGTGATTAACTTTCCCCCTCCCATACAATCCACATCTACATCCCTGGGGTGGCACCCAGAGTAGAGTCTCTATAAATTGTTCGTATCTTTCGATAGCGTAGATTTCTGCCTGAAGGATGCTAGGGTAGGTGCCTATTGGTTTAAAATATTTAGTTATCGGCCCAAATACTCCTAAGCCTATCCTGCTTTGGTTCTGGAAGCATCGGTATATCATATTATGGTACGGTCTTTTAACCGCTGAGCAGACGTTTCTCTTTTCCAATTCTTTTTATTGCTCCATATTACAGTGAGGAGTTTGTCAAAGTTGTATATTCTTGGTATGTCATCAATAGTGTGTATCTAAATTCTATAAAAACCCATAAGTATTCCTAACTTCTAAATGTATACGTATCAAATTCCAGCTCTACTAATAAGGTATCCAGTCGCAAACCCCGTAGATAATCCATGCGATTCTGTTGACCAGCATGAAGGCATGGACGAAAGATATAGGAGAGGTGCGCCAACTGGCAATAGGTTAATTGAAAGCGTAGATAAATAAGGGTATTGGAAGTGGCCGTACGGCCTTCGGTTCAAAGGTCTGTGCGTGAAAATACTAAAATATGAATGATGGCGTTACATCGGATTAAGGTGACGTGATAAAATACGTCCGATAGATGGTGGTATTTGATAAAATCGACGAGATTCGTAAGAAAGACAAAACTACACAACTATGGAAATGAAAAGGTACTCATAACATATGTTTCTAATTTATCCGCTACTTATAAGCCTTCGTCTCTTTGGGTTTTCTATCGAATGATACGTACTAAGATATCTATTAAAATGAATATAGATATAAGCAAATACACTAATTTAGTAGCCCTTCTCAAAAGAAAATCAGAAGGTTATCGGTCAAAAAAATCAAAGGTGCTAACAAAGGCCGATATTACTAAATTTCTACAAGCAGCAGATGACAAAAAATATATATTTAAGGAAGTTGCCTTGATTGTTTGGTCTCGCAGCGCAAAAATTTTAGGCGAGACGGGAGGTAGTTATGAAGCAAACATTAAAAAAATAAAACCAAGTAACCCAGAGCCCTTTCAATTTGCCACGGCTAGTCATCAGAATCAGAATTTGAATATATCGAATACAAGTTCCGGAAATGTAACTGCTTCATCAGCCATTTACTTGAAAAATTGTTCAAACTGTATCATTAACATTTATAATAAATAAGTTTTCATGTTTTTATAATTTTTGTCAATAGAACAGTTTATTTGTATTTAGTAGGTATTTAGTGCAAAATAAATGTTTTACAAAATATTTTTTTCTCCTTGGTAGTCATCTAAACAAGGAGTGCGGTAATGAAATTGCGTGAGTTAAGAAGCTCTTAGCTCACTCAAAATGCGTGAGTTAAGAGTTCTTAACTCACTAACGTAGATAAAATTTATTATTTAATTATTCTAAAAGTCTTAGCATGTATAATTTGTGAAAATTCTAAAAATAAAAATACAAAAAAAAATATTTTGATATCCTCAGAAGGTTTAACTTGTATTATAATTTATTATTCCAGTAAAAAGAAACTTTTTAGATGAGGTCAACTACTGCAGCGAGCATAGTTTTAATCACCGGTTTTGCTAGTGGGGCATA